GAGACACGCACCACCTTCTGTGGCCCTCAGGGGACTGCTTTGGAGAGACGGGGGCTGGGGGCTGGGAGGGTTACAGTGCATGCCTCGCGCTCCCTGGTTGATGTAGAGCACACCCAGGTCCCACCAGACCCCCACTTTCCTGATGACTCAGAACCAGACCTCCTTTCTTAAAATAAACCCTGCCTCTTGGCTGGTCCTGGAAGGTGTTAGACTGCAGACGATGTGAGATAAACCCTGCGAAGTGCTTCAGATTTCCATGTGGCCCACAGCCTGCTGACCCAGGTGGTCCCCTAGACCATCCAAGGGGCTCTCAAGATTGTCTTCGAACCAACAAAACTGAGGCACAGAAGGTGATCTGATCGGGGTCCTGCAGCTGGTGGAGGACAGTGTCCTCCATGTGTCCTGCCTCCACCCCATATTTTCTGTGAAACTGCAGACTCAATAGGTTGACCCAGGGTCAAAGACAAGAGGAAAAGGATTTGCTTTAGAAACACCCAGAAGGGCCTGGCACAGTAGCCTAGTGGTTAAAGTCCTCATGTTGCATACGCTAGCATCCCATATGGACGCCGGTTTGTGTTCCAGATGTCCCCTTCCTATCCAGCTCCCTGCTTGTGGCCTGGGAAAGCATTTGAGGATGGGCTACAGCCTTGGGACCTGCACCCACGTGGGAGACCTGGAAGAAGCTCCTGGCCTCAATCAGCTCGGCTCTGGGTGCTGCAGCCACTTGGGGAATGAACTAACTGATGGAAGATCTTTGTCTCTCCTCTCTGTAAATCTGTCTTTCCAATATATAAATCTTTTTTTTTTAAAGCAGCACCCAGAAATGTCTTCCTAATCACCGCCCCCCCCCCCACTGAATTTCCTGTGCCTAGGACAGCGACTCTTTATCAGTCGTACATGGGTCATTTGGCCTAGTGCCTGGAAGACCTGATATTAAAAAAAAAAAAAAAATGGTTTCTGGGGCTCAGCTAGACTCAGCTAAGCCCTGACAACACTTGAAAGGAGCTTCGTTGGGAAAGTATGTGGGAAGGGAGACAGAGCACCTCCCCCAAGGAGGCTGTGGGCGGATGGGACGTGGCTGCCAGTGGGACACGTGTAGAACATGTCATCTCTGTGATGAGAAAGATATTTTCCAGAAGAGCATCTGAGGCGAGGATAAGGCAGAAGGAAGCAGCAAGGACCAGGAAAAGGGGAACTGGCCCTCAGGTCCAGAGGAGTCCCGATGCCTTTCACTGGGAGGAAGGACTGGTGAGAGAAGCTGGTTTACAGAGGCGGGAATGTTTGCTCAGGATCCCACACGAGCGTAACTCCCCACTGGGTTGGCATAACCCAAGGCTCTGGTTGCAATTTCTCCTGTTTTCCTCCCAATGTGCAGCCCTCTGACAGAGGCCGTGAGACCTAAAGGGCTCCATGGCTCGTGTCCCCAAGGGCTCACTGCTTAGTGACGAGTCAAGGAACAGCTTAGTTGCTGAGTATGGCCAAGATTTCCCTTGGCACTAGATCCTTGGAAATCCCCCATTTTAGAGAGGTTGCAAACTAGATCTTGTCCTAGTGCTTCCAAAGAACTTAGCCTTTTTTGGTGTCAACAACACTTACTGATTTCTTTGGAAATTTGTGGTTGGGGCCGGGCGCAGTGGCCTAGCAGCTAAAGTTCTCTCTTTGAATGCACCAGGATTCCATATGGGCGCCGGTTCTAATCCCAGCAGCTCCACTTCCCATTCAGCTCCCTGCTTGTGGCCTGGGAAAAGCAGTTGAGGACGGCCCAAAGCCCTGTGATCTTGCACCTGTGTGGGAGACCTGGAGGAGGTTCCTGGCTCCTGACTTTGGATCAGCGCAGCACCGGCCGTTATGACCACTTTGGGAGTGAATCATTGGATGGGGAATCTTCCTCTCTGTCTCTCCTCTTCTCTGTATATCTGGCTTTCCAATAAAAATAAATAAATCTTAAAAAAAAAAAAAAGAAAGAAATTTGTGGTTGCCTGACAGTACCAGCAGCAGCAGCATACACACCACTGCCACCGTCATCACCACCACCACCCACTGCACTTTCTGACCCTTGGTCTCCAGTACACCTGCCTGCCCTGTCCCAGGCAATGATGGAGACCCTCCTTGCCAGCAAACCCAAAGCCACAGGCTCATTGTAGACTTACAAACCTTCATGGCAGTTCCTAAGTCTTTGTGCCTTAGAATTCTAAGACTAAATGAGATGAAATCTACTGCAGTTGCATTTTTTTAAAAAAGATTGATTTTTTTTATTGCAAAGTTAAATATACAGAGAGGAAGAGAAACAGAGAGGAAGATCTTATGTCCAATGATTCACTCCCCAAGTTTCTACAGTGGCTGGTGCTATGCTGATCCAAAGCCAGGAGCCAGGAACTTCCTCCAGGTCTCCCATGTAAGTGCAGGGTCACAAAGCTTTGGGCCGTCCTCAGCTGCTTTCCCAGGCCACAAAGCAGGGAGCTGGATGGGAAGTGGAGCTGCCGGGATTAGAACCGGTAGCCCATATAGGATCCTGGTGCATTCAAAGAGAGGACTTTAGCCGCTAGGCCACTGCGCCAGGCCCTGCAGTTGTCATTTAAAGCCAGCATTTTTAACCTAACACACTTAAATTATATAAGAATTTTTTCATCTCCAGGGGAGGGGGTGCAGGGGCAGGCAGGAAGTGGAGATGCTGAAATGGGGCAGTGACAAGATTACTAGAATGACCTTTCAGGGGGCCAGAGGGAGAGGGGTAAGAGCCACAGTGGCATCCTTGACCAGTTTGGTGGGAAGGCATGCTGGCTGCCCAGCAGGGCCTGAGCCAGTAGTTACAGCTGACGAGAAGATGGGGTGTCGTTGACAGCTCATTTGCAATCAGGATCTCCTGTGTGCTGCCGCACAGAGCTCTGGGGGGAACCGCAAAGCTCCATTTCTGTTGGCTCCAGCATTTACTTTATCACTCTACTCCCTCTAACCATTCTTTTCCCCCTCAGCCATCCAGGCCATGCCCTGGGCTTTCCTGGGCTGTAGGACATGTCACAGGAAGCCTTGGTGGCATTCATTCTCATGGTTTCCAGTCATCACCCTGTACATGGTTCCCAGAGTCATGAAGCACATTTCCCCCATCTCCTGCACAGTCATGTCCAGGGGATGTATTCCTTTGAGCTTTGATTCAGGATGGGTCCTTTTCTTCCAAATCTTCTCTTTCCCCTACTGTTCTCCATCCTAGCTCAGACCACAGAAATTTCTCTAGCAATTCCTTTCATTTGGTCTCCAGGTACCTAGGCCATTGCAACTGCCCCTTCCTTGTCCTGCCAGAGCCCAGGTCTGCATTACTTAGTGATTTAGTGTTTGGATGGGACCCTCAAACTCCCAGTGGCAGGCTGGGATTTGAGTCAAGTTCTGAGAGCAGCCAGAGGAGGAGCTGGGACGAGAGTCCCTGTGCTTGAACAACCTGTCTCTCCCTGTGACACCTTCCTCCTGTGTGACATCTTCCTGTACTTGAAAACTTGTCATTCATCCCCCAAGCAGCCTTCCTCACCCCACCATGTGCCCCCCCCTCTCTGTCCCATTTCTTCCAACATATCTGAACACATGTTCATTGAACAGGTGCAGGGCACTGCTCTGAAACGGGTTTGCGTGAATGAACTTACTCAGTCCTCACGAAGCTATGTTTCAGGGCTGCAATCTATTCTACACAGGTGGACTAAGGTTTGCTTCCAGGCCAAGAGGTGACCTCCTTTGGTGCCATACAGGTAGGTCCCCATGTTGACACATACGCGCACGCACCTACACACATGCAGGTATGGGCAGAGCGTTATGAGCTGCCCTTAACCAAGGCAAGCACTTGAGTCTTTAGGAAAGTGTGCTTTGATTTCCATTGCTCAACAGAAGACCGCTCCCATCTTCTGGTTCCTGTCTTCCTCTTGCTGTCTTCTCTTTCCTGCTTGCCTCATGGGAGTCCTTTTCCTCTTTCTCCCCTGCCCTCTTGCTTGCGTCCCAGTCACAAACAAGGTACCTGGAGTCTAATCTCACTGTGCCTGTGGCCTTGCTGCGTGACCATGGACAAGTGCCTTTCCCTCTCTGAGCCTTGGTGCGCATGTCTCTAACAGGAAGCAGCTGGCCTGGATGGTGAGTGATGTGGGCTGAGCCCTGCCAGTTCTTCTCTTTCACAGCCCCCCTCCCCCGCTTCGGGTTCCCTCTCACCAGTCCTCCCTCCCAGGGGAGGCATCGGCCCAGGAGAGCTGCGGTCCTGGCTCTTGGTCCTCCTCTAAGTTACCGGCCGTGGGACTCCTCCCCAGCTTTGGCCCTAGCTCCATGTGGCCTGTCTGAGAGGCTGGCCTCAAGCCCGGCGGCAACTCCACATTTCTGTTTTTCCTTTAACCTCTCTCTCTCTCTCCCCCTCTTCCTCTCTCTCCCTCTCTTTCCCGGAGTTAACAAGAAGCAGATGTGGCGCCTGATGGTTGGAGAGGTGGGGGTTGGCGGGGGGGTGGGGGGCGTTGGAGGCTGGACCGGGAGCCAGACAGGGGGAGGGAGGGGAGGGACCAGGGAGGGAGGAGGCAGTCGCCCCACAGCCACTCTTGCTGCCTTTGAGCGGCCACAGGGGCAAAGCCCTGTCACCCCCAGGATCTGGCCATCAGGGAGAAGGATAGGGTCGAGAGAGCAGGAGAAGGTCCAGTGGCACCCAGAGGTGTGGAGACCCAGAAACAGCATCTGAGAGGGCCAGGGGCCAGGCACCGGGGGCTAGGGCACCGAGAACAGACGCCCCTCAGAAGTGGAGAAGGGGAGAGCGGAAGGAGCTGAGGGAGGGACAGACGGGAGCCTGAGGAGAGGAGAGGGGTCAGGCCAGGCAGCCAGGGAGGCGGCTGGCGGGGCGGCGGCCGCGGGGGGCAGGCTGCAGGAAGCCGGGACCGCACTGAGACCGCCGTCCCGCCGAGCGCGCGGCGGCATCCCCGGCCGGGACAGAGGCGTCAGCAGCCAGGCCGGGATGTGCCTCTGAGGCCCCGCCGAGCGCCCCCACCATGGCCCCCAGCACCCTCTGGAGCTGCTGCCTTTACTGCCTGCTGACCGCGGCCGCGGGTGCCGGCGCTGCGAGCTACCCTCCCCGAGGTTACAGCCTCTACACAGGGGGCGGCGGTGCCCTCAGCCCCGGGGGACCTCAGGCCCAGAGCGCACCCCGGCCCGCCAGCCGCCACAGGTAAGGTTCCGGGGCCCAAGCCAAGGCTGGAGGTAGGCGGACGGGCGCGGGAGGTGATATGCCGGGCTCTCCACGGTGTCCACAGGAAGGGAGACAGGGGAGGCTCAGGTAGCCCCTTACACGTCCAATCCCACCGAGCCTTTTCCAGGGTCCCCTCCCCACCATGTAGATGCACCCTTATGGATACCTCAGAGGTATCAGCTCCACACTCCCCTGGGGGACCTGTGGTTGGGCCTAGGGTGAAGTGTCCTGAAGGGCGAGGGCCAGGCTTCCCTGCCAACTACTAGTTGTGTACCAGCCCGGAGCCTTATGCCGACTCTTTGTCCCTTCCCTAGCCAGTCATGGGCCCTCCTGCCCTGCTCTGATCAGAGGCCAGCCTGAATGGGCCCTCCCAGGGAGGCCGGGCTCATCAATGGCTCATTCTCTGCTCAGTCCTTGACTGAGCCAGACTCCTGCCTGCCTGGCCTCTTCTCTGCCTTGTGGGTGGAAGCCACTGACCAGGGGTTCACCCTTAAGGATATGGCCTGTGGGAATGAGACAGAGCCAGAAAGGGACAAACACCATGACATGAGATGGAGGCTGCCCAGGCACACCACCGCCACCACCTTGGGCCCACGGGAACAGACTTCTCTGGGCTAGTGGTTTCCATTCAGTGCTTCTCCCCATCTTGAAAAGTCTTTATCTGCTCCTGTTACACAGGAAAGTGTTGGGGGAGGGGTCTGAGGGCTACCCCTGCCAAAATCCTGGTGCTCACTGGTCCCTCAAGGTAGCCTGTCATCTCTCGAGCCTCCCCCAGCCTCCTCCCACCACCTTGTGGCTGTCCCCAGGCCCTCCTCTGGAATATCTGTGCCCCAGTGCTTGGGCCCAGGTACGATTGTGCCTGCAGGAACTGGTGTGCCTACGTGGTGACGCGGACGGTGAGCTGTGTCCTTGAAGATGGCGTGCAGACCTTTGTCAAGCCAGACTACCAGCCCTGTGGGTGGGGCCAGCCCCAGTGCCCCCGAAGCATCATGTGAGAGCCCTGCTGCTGGGGGTGGACATGCATGCATGCAGGGGAAAGTCGCCCGAGGGCGGAAGACGGGTGCTGATGCAGAGACTTTCCACAAAGCAGATAGCAAGGGGCCAACAGGGGAAGTGCCAAGGCAGCCAACTAGCCTGTGCTGGCAGCCCAACCTCGCCTGCCAAAGCCTTCCCTAGTCCAGGATGGGTCATCCACCAGAAGGGCTCGTGGGTCCCGCGGAGGGCAAGGGGATGGAGAGCAGGGATCTGGCCCTTGGAAGCTGACAGCTGTCAAGAGCAAGGCCATATATGCAGGATGGTTAAAAGGACTCAGACCAAGGGAGAGGCCTTGCCCACCAGTGGCTCCCAGGACAGGGGTCAGGGCACTGACAGTTCAGGAAGGTCTAAGGAGGCCTCCTCTGCCCCTGCCAGGTACCGCAGCTTCGTCCGGCCTCGCTACCGTGTGGCCTACAAAACAGTGACTGATATGGAGTGGAGATGCTGCCAGGGCTATGGGGGTGACGACTGTGCCGAGGGTCCCGCCCCAGCCCTAGGCCCTGCACTCTCCACACCACAGCCTCAGCCTCGGCCCCGGCCTGCCCGTCCCAGCCTCTCGGGCTCCAGCGCAGGCAGCCACCTGAGTGGACTTGGGGGAGAAGGTGAGCAAGGGAGCTGCTGAAATAGGGGGGATGGGAAGAGGAAGGACGTGGAGCAGGGAGGAGGTAACAGGGGACTGAGCTGCTCAGAGAGGCGAGAGGGACAGAAGGGAGTTAAGCTTGTTGTGTGTGCCCTGCTGTGTGTGTGTGTGTGTGTGTGTGTGTGTGTGTGTACAAGCGCACGTGCCAGAGAGCTAAAAAGCCAGAGAAAAGGAAGGCAAAGGGAAAGTGCTCTCACACGCCCACGTGTGGCCAAGAGCCTCCCTAGTCGGGAACAGCTGCGAGAGGAAGGGGGAATTCCTCAGGGACTACAATTCCTAGCATGCACTGCACCTGACCGTGGGTCCCAGCCCCCCTCGCCCAGACCTCTGGAGACCACAGCTCCCAGAATGCTACGGTTCCCATTGCTTCTCCTCCATGCATGTCCGGCACACAGGATGTGCCGATCTTTCCTGTCAGCGAGATAGCCACACCATAATTATGGAAACAGGAACCTTTGGCTGACTTTCTGACGAGGCAGCCAGAGCCCAAGCTTGGCTGGCCACGTAGCGTCTGTCTGTGCCTGCGGTGCTGGGAGGCTGTGGTGCCCAGTCGTAGCCACAGCGTGGTGGCCAAAGTGCCTGTCTGCCATTGCCACCTGGCTGTGGAAGAGAGGACAGATGGTGTCATCCTTGTTTTCCAGATGAGGATGCTTGGTCCACAAAGTGGGCACTGTGGCAGGTGGCTAGACAGATGAACTGGGCCTGAAACTTGACTCTACCATTCATTAAGCTAATTGTCTGTGACCAGTTCCTCTGTTTCCCAGTGTATGAAATGGGAAGAGTTCATGGTATTTGTCTAGCAGAGTTGCTGTAAGAGGAACAGCCAGGTTCAAGTTTGTCCTAGCAGAAGCATCCAATGAATTGTGTTTCCTTTTTCCTCTTCTTGTCCAAGTCCAGGAAGGACATGCAGCCCAACAAGTGGGCAGGTCTGGCAGGGAGTCCCAGAACCCTGAGGTCCAGCCCCTCTGCTTTCCCCACTTCTCAGGTCCTGGGGAGTCAGAGAAGGTGCAGCAGCTGGAGGAGCAGGTGCAGAGCCTGACGAAGGAGCTGCAAGGCCTGCGGGGCGTCCTTCAGGGACTGAGCGGGCGCCTGGCAGAAGATGTGCAGAAGGCGGTGGAGACGGCCTTTAACGGGCGGCAGCAGCCAGCGGATGCAGCTGCCCGTCCCGGTGTGCATGAGACCCTCAGCGAGATCCAGCACCAGCTACAGCTCCTGGACAACCGTGTCTCTACCCACGACCAGGAGCTGGGCCACCTCAACAACCACCACAGTAGTGGCAATAGTAGGGTCCCCGGTCAGACCCCGGCCTCTTCTGGCCCCAGTGAGGAGCTGCTGCGGCAGCTGGAGCGCAGGCTGCAGGAGTCCTGCTCCGTGTGCCTGGCGGGGCTGGATGGCTTCCGGCGGCAGCAACAGGAGGATCGGGAGCGGCTGCGAGCACTGGAGAAGCTGCTGGCATCAGTGGAGGAGCGGCAGCGGCAGCTCGCTGGGCCAGCCCTGGGTCGTAGGCCCCCTCAGGAGTGCTGCCCCCCTGAGCTGGGCCGGCGACTGGCAGAGCTGGAGCGCAGGCTCGATGTGGTGGCTGGCTCAGTGACAGTGCTGAGTGGAAGGCGAGGCACAGAGCTGGGAGGTGCTGCTGGGCAGGGGGGTCATCCTCCAGGCTACAGCAGCCTTGCCTCTCGCCTTTCCCGCCTGGAAGGCCGCTTCAATTCCACCCTGGGCCCCTCGGAGGAGTTGGAAGACGGCTGGCCAGGTAGACCTGGAGGGCTTGGTCACTGGCTTCCAGCCGCCCCAGGCCGGCTGGAGAAGCTGGAAGGGCAACTGGCCAACGTGAGTGGAGAGCTGGGTGGGCGGCTGGATCTGCTGGAAGAGCAGGTGGCAGGGGCCGTGCAGGCATGTGGACAGCTCTGCTCCGGGTCCCCCGGGGATCAGGACTCTGAGGTCAATCAGATCCTCAGTGGCCTGGAACGAAGGGTACTGGACAGTGAGGGGCAGCTGCGGCTGGTGGGCTCCGGCCTGCATCAGGTGCGGGCAGAGGGAGAGGCCCGACAGGCTGTGCTGGAGCGCCTGCAGGGCACTGTAGGCCAGCTCCAGAACCGCGTGGACATGCAGGACAGGGCAGCCACGGAACTCACACTGCGGCTGAATGTCACTGCAACGCGGCTGGGCCAGCTGGAGGCTCTGCTGCAGGCCCGCGGAGAGGAGGGCTGTGGGGCCTGCGGGGGCGTCCAGGAGGAGCTCGGCCGTCTCCGGGACGGTGTGGAACGCTGCTCCTGCCCGCTGCTACCTCCGCGGGGCCCCGGTGCCGGGCCGGGTGTTGGAGGCCCAAGCCGCGGGCCTCTGGATGGCTTCAGTGTGTTTGGTGGCAGCTCAGGCTCAGCGCTGCAGGCCCTACAAGGAGAGCTGTCAGAGGTGATCCTCACCTTCAGTTCTCTCAATGACTCGCTGCACGAGCTGCAAGCCACCGTGGAGGGCCAGGGCGCCGATCTGGCTGACCTGGGGGCCACTAAGGACAGCATCATCTCTGAGATCAACAGGCTGCAGCAAGAGGCCACAGAGCACGCCACAGAGAGCGAGGAGCGCTTTCGCAGCCTAGAGCAGGGGCAGGCCCAGGTGGGACAGTGCCCCAGCCTGGAGGGGCGCCTGGGCCGTCTGGAAGGAGTTTGTGAGCGCTTGGACACTGTGGCCGGGGGACTGCAGGGGCTGCGTGAGGGCCTTTCCAGGCATGTGGCCAGCCTCTGGGCTGGGCTAAGGGAAACCAACAGCACCAGCCAGACACAGGCGGCCTTACTGGAGAAGCTTCTGGGAGGGCAGGCCGGCCTGGGCAGGCGGCTCGGAGCCCTGAACAGCTCCCTGCTACTCCTGGAGGACCGTCTGCACAAGCTCAGCCAGAAAGACCTCACGGGTGAGGGGGCAAGAGGAGGCATGTGGGGACCTGCTCTACCCGGAGCCCGCTCTTTCTTTCACCCCTTATCCCACCACAGCCCAGCCTCTAGTTTCTCTTCTCTTTTCCTTGCTCTGTCCAGCATGAACTGCAGCCCCAGCCACGGTCCTGATCATCTTAAGAGGTGATGCCAGGACCTAGCTCCTTTCTGTCTGCCAGCTCTCAGACAGGCCTGGGGCTGGAGGTGGGCTGGTGTCCTGCTAGCTGTGTGGCCGGCAGGGACAGCCAGACCCTCATTTTCATGTCAACTTGCAGAAGCCCACCTGTCATCCCTCTATCTGCCCATGGAGCCACCACCCTCTGCAGCCTTTGCATGCTCCCTTCCTGGCTCTCTTTCAACTTCGTTTTGTCACCGCAGGGCCTGCGGGTGAGGTGGGACCGCCAGGGCCTCCTGGGGTGCAGGGACCCCCAGGCCCTGCTGGACCCCCAGGACCTCCGGGCAAGGATGGACAAGAGGGGCCTGTGGGGCCACCAGGTACGTATGGGAGCTGAACCCTTTGTGGCTGCCGACCCTTTGGGGAGCTCTGGATATGACATTGAACTCTGAACTTGACGTAGAAGGGGAAGGTGTGAGGCATTGGCTGATGGAGGAGTGAGAGATCATGGAGTTGGAACAGTCACCATGTTTGCGCTCAGATCTGCTGGCCCCACTGTCTTTCTGGAGGCTGAGGTTAATCCCATAGGGCCACCTGGGATGTGGGTCCAGGGTCCAGGGTCCAGCAGCTGAACACAGCCACCTTCCCGAGGCTTCCCTTTTTGATAGCCCCAATCATTCCTGCTGTGACATGCACCCTGGACAGGCCCAGGCAGTGTCTCACAGCTCTCTTTTCTCTTCCCACAGGTCCCCAGGGGGAGCAGGGTAAGTTGCTCTCAACCAGGGCTCAGACAATGGAGACCCTCAGGGGCAGGGATCTCGGAGGGGAAGGTGGGGGCAGGTGAGCACCAAAACTGTGTTCCTACACCGACCTTTTCCCATCCAGGAGAGGAGGGAACCCCAGCAGTCCCTGCACCCAGGGTAGCGTTTTCAGCTGCCCTAAGTCTTCCACGATCCGAACCTGGCACAGTCCCCTTTGACAGAGTTCTGCTCAATGACGGCGGCTACTACGATCCAGAGACGGGTGAGATGGGGAGGGGCTGGGATGAGCGCACGGGAAGTGGGCCTGCCGGGGTGGTGCCGTGAGGGGGAGGGTGTTCTCTTCCCATAGACAGTGCCTCTGTTTCTCTCTGATCTGGCCAGGTTCCTCCTCTTCTTTCTGGCCTGTTCTCTAGGAGCACTCAGCGCCTCTGCCCTGGCCTGGGAGTTACGGGTGGGCATCCCGCACCCCTCCTGATTGCCATTCTTCTCCCCCTTTCCCCTAGGCGTGTTCACCGCACCGCTGTCCGGGCGCTACCTGCTGAGTGCCGTGCTTACCGGGCACCGACATGAGAAAGTGGAGGCCGTGCTGTCACGCTCCAACCTGGGAGTGGCCCGCATCGACTCTGGTGGCTACGAGCCTGAGGCTCTGGAGAACAAGCCCGTGGCTGAAAGCCAACCAAGTCCGGGTGCCCTGGGCGTGTTCAGCCTTATCCTGCCGCTACAGGCAGGGGACACGGTCTGCATTGACCTGGTCATGGGGCAGCTGGCGCATTCGGAGGAGCCGCTCACCATCTTCAGTGGAGCCCTGCTCTACGAGGACCCCGAACTGGAACACTTGTAGATGAGGCGCTGGCCCCACCCGTTCAAAGTGTCTGGCGCCGGAAGAGAGCTGGCACTGGACCCCCGCCAGGTACAGAGCGCCCCGCCGCTCGCCGCCCGCAGCTGGCTGGGGGCCTCTGGCGTCCCCTAGTCCAGAATCCCGGCTTGAGTCTTGGGCTGCGGAGGGCTAATCCTTGCACCGTCAACCTTCCCGGACCGACTCCCCGGCTGCGGGGCTGTCCTGAGCAGGCTCCGGCCCCCACTGCCATACTAAACTATTGAGGAATAAAGACTCTTATTATTTTTTTTTTCTATAAAACAAGACGAATAGTTCTGCTCTACTTCATGTTGGTGGTGTGGGAGGGACACAGCGGTCCGTGGGGCCGAGCGGCACAAGCGGCGACTCGGGCTCCTGAAGGGTCTGGCGGTCACATCCGTTCCGCCCGCGTCCGCCAAGGGGCGCTGGACACCGAGGCCGCCTTGTCGCTCCACCGCGTCCCGCGTCACGTGACGTCCGGCACCACCGAGGGGGCCCGCAGGGAAGAAGCCGGGCAGCCGCGAGGGCTGCAAGGCCGAGCGCACGCCCGCGGTGCAGGTGGAGAGAGTGGCAGGTGCAGCGGAGGGCGGGCAGGCGGCGCATTTTCGGTGCGGGGAGATTGCCTAGGTAGGCGTGGGAAGCAAGTAAGAACGCTGAGGCTCGGAAGTGGGAGACGTTGTCATCTGCGGGGCCACTCGAGGCTGCTTCGGGGAGGTCCAGACGGGCCGTGGTAGGCGTGGGATCCTTGGTGTCCACCCCTTGCCACCTCCGGCACACCCGGCCGCTGCAGGGGTGGGGTGGGAGAAGCTGTGCAAGCGGAGGAAGAGGAGGAGAAGGAGGAGGAGGAGGAGGAGGAGCCAGGGCTGCCCAGGGGAGTGGGGACCCAATCTTGCAGGATAAGAGGCAGAGTCCCAGGACAGTCCCTTGATTGCCTGGCGGACCCAAAGCTCGGGGAGCAGCCTCATGGAGGAGAAACAGATCCTGTGCGTGGGGCTAGTGGTGCTGGACATCATCAATGTAGTGGACAAGTACCCGGAGGAGGACACGGACAGCAGGTAGGGGCGCTTGGACCCCTTCGAAACCCAGTGTTGTGGCTGCAGCCTTGTATTTGTGGCCCGTGGCCAAGATCTGCGGGCAGCTAGCCAGGGAACCTGCAGGAAGACCAGGACAGCCTGGGATGCCTGGGGGGCTGTTAGGGAGAGAGAAGTAGCTGATGCCTTTAATAATCAGATGCACTGGGTTAATTTCCATCTCAAGCCTGGGACTGTGGCAGACATCAGCATTCCCGTTTTTCTGATGAGTAAGTGGAAGCAGTGATTTATTGAAGGATTTAGACTGGCAGGCCCACTTCCTCCTCATGCCCATCAGGAGAAGATGCAACGGCCTTGGAGGGATTAATTCTAAATTTTTGCCTCATGATTGAGGGTGTACTGAGAGAGTCATGGAAGAAATAGAATTGAAGAGATTCATTTCGGTGCAAAATATTTTTAAATCCGAACAGTTTTTGTGTAGTATGCATTTCCCCCAACTGTGCGAAGCTCCCACGTGCACCTTGCCTGTCTTGATAACAGCAAGAGGCGTGAGCAGTTTGATGATTCTGGAGCATTTAAAACCATGCTCTCTGAGCTTTGACCGTAACTCAGTAACTCAGGGCTCCTGGGCACTGGAGGAGGGGCTGGAGATGCCCCGGGGTTGCGGGTAGATGGGGTTTGTGAACTCACACCCTCCACCCCTGTGCCAAGTGGAATTTCAAAAGGAGTTTACCAGAACTCATTCTGACAAAGATCAATGAAGAGCCTCTGGAAACTGGCCCCTGGCAGCCAGGCGTCTAGTGGAAGCTGAGAAGTCATTTGTGGGAGCTTAGATTTGTGCTTGATAAGGGCCCCACGGTTGGGCACTTCTGGGGGTGGGTGGTGGAAGTTGCTGAGGACTCTGGGATTTGCCCACCAAGAACTGGGTGAAAGTTCGAGGCTGCCTCGACTTAGTGGGAATCTGTCAGACCCTCCGTGCAGAAAGAGAAGCTGGAGGTTCAGGGATATCACATGCTTAATTCACGGGGATCATAACCCAAGTGTCCGGGCTAAGAACCCCAGGCCCCAGGCCCAGGCTGTTCCCTGTGCACTGGGATGTCCCTTACATACCCGGAATATTCCCTGTGCACCTGGGCTGCCCCCTGCACACCCAAAATGTCCCCTGCACATCTGAGCTGCCCCCTGCGTGCTCAGGATGTGCCCTGTGCACTTGGGCTGTCCCTTGGTCACCCAGGATGTCCTGTGCGCACTGGGATGTCCTCTGTGTACCTGGGCTGTCTCCTGCATACCTGGGCTGTCCCCCGTGCTCCTGAAATGTCCCCTGCATGCCCCGGTCCTTTGCTGTCCCCTGTCTTGAGCAGTTGACTTTGTGCTTTGGGCTAGTTTGTTTGTTACAGGTGGCAGGGACAGAGCGGAAGTGACTCCTCATGCCCAGCTGAGGTCTTCTGCACATGCTCTTTCTTAGGAAATTCCTCAATACTTGAGCCTAACCAGTTTTCATGTCAACACCCCAGGGTGGGTGGCACTTTGCAGCCAGGGAGTGCAGAGGTGCTCTTGGCCCTGCCATCAGCTCTTGCCAGACCCCAAGCCAGCCGAACCTTTTCCTGTAGGACACGTGCCCCACAGCTTGGAGCTTGAGTCTTGGGCTTTGTACAGATAAGCCGTCTCTTTCATCAATAAGCAGGTGTGGAGTCTGAAGGGCATTTCAGGGCTAAGTTTTGTGTACAGATGAACGTTGCCCTAAACACCCTGGTTCAGCAGTTTCTCCAAATTTGGGGCTCTTTGCCCCTCTCACTGGATGGTGCCACAGCAATAACAACTATGGCAATTTTGTAATTGGCGCACCCAGCCACCTACTTTAACCACTCAGCATCCTGAAGTGTGGTGGAGTGGGAAGCTCATATGTGTGTGGCTGGCTATTTGGGTCATTGAGGAGGACATGAAGCCCTTCCAGTATGCCTTATTCATTCCCTGTTGGCTGATTTTTGGTAAAAATGGAGTAAAACTGGTCTTCACTCTATACTCTAGATTTTACTTTTGAAATTTTATTTGAAAGGTAAAGTTTCATATATACAGAGAAAAATGGAGAGACACACAGAGAGAGGATTTTTCCACCTGCTGCTTCACCCCCCAGATGGCTGCACCTGCTGAGGCTGAAGCCGGAGCCATGAGACAGGAATCAGGAGCTTCTTCCGGGTCTCCCACATCCCAACTTCTACTTTTTTCAGCCACCTTGGAAGGGAGCTGGATTGAAAAGTAGCATAGCCAGGACTCAAACCAGAACTCGTGGAATACTGACTTCCTAGGTGGTGACTTCATCCACTATGCCACAATGCCAGGTTCTCCCGCCCCATTTCTCTTTCTTTCTTCCTTCTTTCCTTCCTTTCTTTTTCTTTCTTCTTTCTTTCCTTTATTTCTCTCTCTCTATTTCTTTCTCCCCCTCTTTCTCTTTTTTTTCCTTCCTTCCTTTTTTCACTTTTGAAATCATACAAGTTAGCTCTCCTGCCCACACTCCAGGCCTTCGTCCTGTCTCACTCATCCTGTAACTTGGCAGTTGTCTTTCAAGTGGGTCTCTTGAGACAGGTGTAGGTAGTAAGGGTGGCTGATGCCCTGGTGAAAAAGTACTGAGTGTCTGAGGGCCTTGGCTACAGGTGCTGGCTTCTGGGAATCACTTTGATGGGGGAGAAGTGAGTCCCTCAGTGCTGATGGTCCAGGCTGTGAGTTCCTGATGATGCAGGAATAGGTGGAAACATCTGAAATTATCTCTATCAGCTGAATGTGGCCTAGGCTGGAGAGCTAGAACTGGCCCTTGACCTACCCCTTTTCTTTGACTGAGCCCTGCTTACCTCATCTAGAACGTGAGCTGGGACCCAGATGGTTTCTGCAGAGGTGGTGTGTCTGCTGGCCCTTGCATCCTGTGACACCGCGCCCCCTGCAGCGCATACACACATGCGCACGCAGGGGACTGTAGTTGGCCCTGCTTCTCCCAGGACCAGCCTTCTGGAGCTGCAGGGGACCCTTCCTGTGCTTTCACAGGTGCCTGTCACAGAGATGGCAGCGTGGAGGCAATGCGTCCAACTCCTGCACCGTTCTCTCCCTGCTCGGAGCACCCTGTGCCTTCATGGGCTCTCTGGCCGCTGGCCACATTGCCGAGTGAGTCCAGGCGGGAGTGCCCATTTGGGGGGCAGGGGAGGGGAGGCTTGCAGGAAGGCTGTGGGGAACCCTGGGCTGCAAGCAGAGTATGAGGAAGGGCTGGGGGATACCAGAGCTGGGTGGGGCTGGGGTAGCATGAGAAGGGGGAAGGGTGCAGTGCAGTGCCTGGCTCCTAGCCCTTCTGCTTAGGGTGGGGGTAGGCAGTGGCCCACTGCAGGTGTCACTGCTGCACCTGTGAAGGTTTTGAGTCCACAGCTGCTTTCCTGGCCCCTCCCTGGAGCCTGCTCAGGCTGCCTCTGCTTTTCCGTTCTTGCTTCCTACAGGCTGTGCTGTGGGTTTGCCTTTTCCCTCCCCGCAAACCCCTTATCCTGGCTGTGCTTGAGTCAGAAGAGAGTCAGGGACTCGCTGTACCCGGCCGCCTCAGGGATATGCAGCATCCATGGTCCCAGGGGAGGGGCGGGGCAGGTGTTCACTGCAGAAGCAGTAGTAGTAGCAGCAGGGCCTGCCCATGACACCCTGAAGCCACGTGTTCCCACTGGGCCCAGAATCCACACCTCCCAGCCGGCTGGGGAGCCTGCAGCCTGCAAGCGGCCCACACGCTTTCTCCACGTTGGCTGCTACAAGGGCTGAGGGTTCTTTGACCCCTGGGGCTGCCAACTCAGCAGGCACTTATCGGGAGGTGAGGTCCACACTTTGCCCGGTGTGGGCACCGGGGCAGGCTGCCAGGTTGCTGGCTTGTGCAGCGTAGCCCTTTGAACCTTGATTTGAGGGGGGCTGTTGGAACCCAACCACCTGAGCCAT